AACAGGAGGGACACCATCAATGTCACTGGATTTTACATGTGATAAGCGTTAAAATGACAAATGTTTACCAAATTTCATGTCTTGATGTTATGGGTGTCTCTGGGTGCTGCAAATGATTAAGCAATCAGCTATTAGCCAAAGGTAGTTCTAACCTTCCCAAAGGCCCCTAAAAATACAGCCCTGGAGATCCAAAAGGCCACATCCAGAAAAGCCAATGGAGTGCAGTTCTACCCTGTAACACATGGGTCACCAGGAGTCCATCTGAAAGGACACCACAGAAATGCATTCAGATATATTATTTTTGAAAATTAATGTCTAACCCAGGAAAGAAGCTTAATGGCAATCACAGCCTGAAATCAACCCACCAGAGAAAGGATAAAGAAAAAGAGGTTACAGCCAATGAGATCAAAGAAGAAACCAAGCCGCCATGATTTGCACTGTTAGAATATGAAGCTCTATAACAGTATGAAGTGTATTTCCAGATGGCACAGACTGTGATGAGGTGGCATGAACAGGGAGAACGAAAAGAGACCAGAAGGCAAGCTGGCTGTGGGGCCCCCAGTCCTAGAGAAAGACGTGCCAGTTGCTGTTGTATATGCAAATTTCACGTGCATGTGAAGTAATTGAAAACAACCTAGCTGGGGTCAGGCCCAGCCTGTCCTCAAAGGAACATGCTTGCTTTTCAATATTCTAAGGAGCACTAGTGCAGCACATTTATGTAATGCAACATGGCTTTGGATCTCTTTTGTTTTTGCACACCCCACCACCACCAAACCATTTTATTAGGAGCTAATCCAGACATCATACCACTCCATAGGTCAATCACATTATACCATAATCCAGATATCACTCCATAGTTCAATCACATCATACCATAATCCAGACATCATACCACTCCATAATCCAATCACATCAATCATTAATGCAAAAGTACTACCAAAATCAATTCCAAAATATTTTCTTTTTTGTTTTTAAATCTTTGTATTTGGGGCTCTTACAGCTCTTATAACATTCTTTTTTTTTTTTAATTTAATTTTATTTTTTTAACATTTTATTAGGGGCTCATACAACTGTTATCCCAATCCATACACACATCAATTGTGTAAAGTGCATTTGTACATCGTTTCTCAAAACATTTTCTCTCCATTTAAACCCCCGACATTAGGTCCTCATTTTTCCCCTCCCTCCCCGCTCCCCCCTCCCGCATGAGCCCTTGATAGTTTATAAATGGGTATTTTGTCATATCTTGCCCTGTCCGATGTCTCCCTTCATCCACTTTTTGGTTGTCTGTCCCCCAGGGAGGAGGTCACACACAGTTCCATGTAATCGGTTCCCTCTTCCCTACCCATTCTCCCTTTACCCTCCCTGTTTTATAACATTCTATACATCAATTATATCAAGCATATTTTTACATATGCTGCCATCATCGTTTCCAAAACATTTTCTACTTGAGCCCTTGGTATACGCTCCTCTTCTTTCCCCTCCCTTCCCGACCCTCCCATGCTTTGAATCCTTGATCACTTATATATTGTCAAAACATTTTCTTTCTTCTTAAAATCTTGATATGAGCTCCCCCTAGCTCCTCCACTTCCCCACTGTACTCCCCCTGCCTCCCAGGAGCCCTTATTCTAGTTGTTGTCTCTGTGGGTTCCTCTATCCTGGGTTTCAGATACCGAAAAAAATAGAAAATTGCATAACAAATATTCAAAAGGTTACTCACAATGACAAAACACAACAGAAATAAACCCAAATGAGAAAAAAAAACACAGAAAATATTAAAAACCAGATCAAGCGCAAAGTGTATCAGAAGAGAGATGGCGTTTGATCTTTTGACAGCTGCCTCCATGAGCGTTGGTTGTGGGTCAAAGCAAGACAAAATCCCTGACAACTTCTTTATTGATCATGATGTGACCTATTAGTCCCATTGTGAGGACCTTGGTCTTTTTTTAGATGCGTTGCAATGAAAATCTTTACATATCTTAGAAACACTGTGGTGTAGATAAGGTCCTGAAATTACTTTGTTGAGAGGGGAGAAAGGATAACAGAAACTGTGTGAAGCTTCTCCAGCAATCTGGTTTCGAATCTCCCAACTGAACACACAGAAGCAGACCACACACTGGAACTTCCTCTGGGTGCCAGGCCTGACCCTCCCTCTGCCTGAGCCTCCATTTTCCCATATGAGCATTTTCTGAAGTGTGTGTTTCATGAGACAGTCGTCCTGGGTATCGCAGACATCTGAGCTTGTTAAATGTTGTGAAAATCCTGCGGTAAAGATGCCTGATTGAATTTGTATTCCCAAGTGCATTTGACTTTGGCAGTTCTTTTTTAAAAATGTCAGATGGGTCTTGGCTCAGAGCAGAGACTATCAGAAAGATGTTTACTTGTGTTTTGTTGACTGCGCAAAGGCATTCAACTGTGTGAACCCTAATAAACTGTGGGTAACCTTGAGAAGAATGAGAAATCCAGAAGTCCATTCATTGTGTTCACTTGGAACTTGTACGTGGGTCAAGAGGCACAACCACAAAAAGAAGAAGGGAACCCTGCCTGGTTCAAAATCAGGAAAGATGTGTGTCAGGGTTGCATCCTCTCCCCATACTTGTTCAATCTGTGTGCTGAGCAAATCATCTGAGAACCTGGATTACATGAGGAAGAGTGTGGCATCAGAATTTCAGGAAACATTAACCATCTGCAAGATGCAGGTGACACCACCTTGTTTGCTGGACGTGAGGAAGACTTGAGGCACATGCTGATGAAGATCAAGGATTGCAGCCTTCCTGACGGATTACAACTCAATGTAAGGAAGACCCAAATCCTCACAACTGGACCGGTAACATCATGATACATGGATAAAGGTGGAAGTTGTCGAGGATTTTGTCTTACGTGGATCCGCAATCAATGCTCATGGAAGCAGCAGTCAAGACATCAAAAGACCTATTGCATTAGGTAAATCTGCTGCGCAGGACTTCTTTAAATATTGAAGAGGAGCGATGTTCCTTTGAGGACTAAGGTGCCCCTGACCCAAGGTCCCGTGATGCTCTCCAAGGCATCACATGCATGTGAAAGTTGGTCATTGAATAAGGAAGACTGTAGAATGACAGATGCACTTGAACTGTGGCGCTGGAGAAGAATATTGAAAGTACCGTGGACTGCTGAAAGGACAAGTCGACCAGTACGGGAAGAAGTCAGGCCAGAGTCCTCCTTGGAAGCAAGGATGGTAAAGATTTCCATCTTGCATACCGTTGGACATGCTGTCAGGAGAGACCAGTCCCCGGAGAAGGACATCATGCTTGGTAAATTGGAGGGTCAGTGAAAAAGAGGAAATCCCTCAACAAGATGGATTGACACAGTGGCTGCATCAATGGGGTCAGGCATAGGAACAGCTGTGGAGATGGCCTAGCACTGAGCAGCGTTCCCTTCCGTTGTGCACAGGGTCACTATGGGTCAAAGACTACTCAATGGCACCTGACAACAACAGCATTCTGCAGACAAGGCTTGCGAAAGGTTACACTACTTGGTTTCTAAGGTCCTTTATAGCTGTGATGTTCCTTGGGGTTCCACGAGAGTGCAGGCATCTAAAGAGGAACAGTAATGAATCCGCCTTCTCTTACAAGAAAACACAGAGCCAAGTGTGATAGCTGCAAACTCCAAAGATGCAGCCTTAAACCAGTCAGCAGATTCTCATCCCCAGTTGGACACTGCCAGCATCTTACTTTGACGAGTGTTGGGGCTGAGTAAACAATTTAGTCCAGGCTTTGCCTCATTAAGGACCTATAGTCCTATAGTCTCCATTTCTCAGGCTAAGCACACTGGTGCTTCTACAGTGGCTGGACAATGCTGCCTCTGGTCACAACATGTGAAAGGACCATTGTTTTCTGGGGGGTTTTAAAT